TATTATTTTATATTATCAGGAGAATATATTTTGCGAGGAGGTCGATGATGCGTTGATGACCTCTTTACAAATCATGTTCTCCTAATAACGCAAGCGTGAAAATTTTCGAAAATTCGTTTCTTATTATTTATATTATCAGGAGAATATATTTTGCGAGGAGGTCGATGATGCGTTGATGACCTCTTTACAAATCATGTTCTCCTAATAACGCAAGCGCGAAAATTTTCGAAAATTCGTTTCTTATAATTTATATTATCAGGAGAATATATTTGCGAGGAGGTCGATGATGCGTTGATGACCTCTTTACAAATCATGTTCTCCTAATAACGCAAGCGTGAAAATTTTCGAAAATTCGTTTCTTATAATTTATATTATCAGGAGAATATATTTTGCGAGGAGGTCGATGATGCGTTGATGACCTCTTTACAAATCATGTTCTCCTAATAACGCAAGCGTGAAAATTTTCGAAAATTCGTTTCTTATATTTTATATTATCAGGAGAATATATTTTGCGAGGAGGTCGATGATGCGTTGATGACCTCTTTACAAATCATGTTCTCCTAATAACGCAACGCGAAAATTTTCGAAAATTCGTTTCTTATAATTTATATTATCAGGAGAATATATTGTGCGAGGAGGTCGATGATGCGTTGATGACTCTTTACAAATCATGTTCTCCTAATAACGCAACGCGAAAATTTTCGAAAATTCGTTTCTTATATTTATATTATCAGGAGAATATATTTTGCGAGGAGGTCGATGATGCGTTGATGACCTCTTTACAAATCATGTTCTCCTAATAACGCAAGCGTGAAAATTTTCGAAAATTCGTTTCTTATTATTTTATATTATCAGGAGAATATATTTTGCGAGGAGGTCGATGATGCGTTGATGACCTCTTTACAAATCATGTTCTCCTAATAACGCAAGCGTGAAAATTTTCGAAAATTCGTTTCTTATTATTTATATTATCAGGAGAATATATTTTGCGAGGAGGTCGATGATGCGTTGATGACCTCTTTACAAATCATGTTCTCCTAATAACGCAAGCGTGAAAATTTTCGAAAATTCGTTTCTTATTATTTATATTATCAGGAGAATATATTTTGCGAGGAGGTCGATGATGCGTTGATGACCTCTTTACAAATCATGTTCTCCTAATAACGCAAGCGTGAAAATTTTCGAAAATTCGTTTCTTATAATTTATATTATCAGGAGAATATATTTTGCGAGGAGGTCGATGATGCGTTGATGACCTCTTTACAAATCATGTTCTCCTAATAACGCAAGCGTGAAAATTTTCGAAAATTCGTTTCTTATATTTTATATTATCAGGAGAATATATTTTGCGAGGAGGTCGATGATGCGTTGATGACCTCTTTACAAATCATGTTCTCCTAATAACGCAAGCGCGAAAATTTTCGAAAATTCGTTTCTTATAATTTATATTATCAGGAGAATATATTGTGCGAGGAGGTCGATGATGCGTTGATGACCTCTTTACAAATCATGTTCTCCTAATAACGCAAACGTGAAAATTTTCGAAAATTCGTTTCTTATAATTTATATTATCAGAGAATATATTTTGCGAGGAGGTCGATGATGCGTTGATGACCTCTTTACAAATCATGTTCTCCTAATAACGCAACGCGAAAATTTTCGAAAATTCGTTTCTTATAATTTATATTATCAGGAGAATATATTGTGCGAGGAGGTCGATGATGCGTTGATGATCTCTTTACAAATCATGTTCTCCTAATAACGCAAACGCGAAAATTTTCGAAAATTCGTTTCTTATAATTTATATTATCAGGAGAATATATTGTGCGAGGAGGTCGATGATGCGTTGATGATCTCTTTACAAATCATGTTCTCCTAATAACGCAAACGCGAAAATTTTCGAAAATTCGTTTCTTATTATTTTATATTATCAGGAGAATATATTTTGCGAGGAGGTCGATGATGCGTTGATGACCTCTTTACAAATCATGTTCTCCTAATAACGCAAGCGTGAAAATTTTCGAAAATTCGTTTCTTATTATTTTATATTATCAGGAGAATATATTTTGCGCGGAGGTCGATGATGCGTTGATGACCTCTTTACAAATCATGTTCTCCTAATAACGCAAGCGCGAAAATTTTCGAAAATTCGTTTCTTATAATTTATATGATCAGGAGAATATATTGTGCGAAGAGGTCGATGATGCGTTGATGACTTCTTTACAAATCATGTTCTCCTAATAACGCAAACGTGAAAATTTTCGAAAATTCGTTTCTTATAATTTATATTATCAAGAGAATATATTTTGCAAGGAGGTCGATGATGCGTTGATGACCTCTTTACAAATCATGTTCTCCTAATAACGCAAGCCTGAAAATTTTCGAAAATTCGTTTCTTATTATTTTATATTATCAGCAAAATATATTTTGCGACGAGGTCGATGATGCGTTGATGATCTCTTTACAAATCATGTTCTCCTAATAACGCAAACGCGAAAATTTTCGAAAATTCGTTTCTTATAATTTATATTATCAGGAGAATATATTGTGCGAGGAGGTCGATGATGCGTTGATGATCTCTTTGCAAATCATGTTCTCCTAATAACGCAAACGCGAAAATTTTCGAAAATTCGTTTCTTATTATTTTATATTATCAGGAGAATATATTTTGCGAGGAGGTCGATGATGCGTTGATGACCTCTTTACAAATCATGTTCTCCTAATAACGCAAGCGTGAAAATTTTCGAAAATTCGTTTCTTATTATTTTATATTATCAGGAGAATGTATTTTGCTAGGATGTCGATGATGCGTTGATGATCTCTTTACAAATCATGTTCTTCTAATAACGCAAGCGTGAAAATTTTCGAAAATTCGTTTCTTATTATTTTATATTATCAGGAGAATATATTTTGCGAGGAGGTCAAAGATGCGTTGATGACCTCTTTACAAATCATGTTCTCCTAATAACGCAAACGTGAAAATTTTCGAAAATTCGTTTCTTATTATTTTATATTATCAGGAGAATATATTTTGCGAGGAGGTCGAAGATGCGTTGATGACCTCTTTACAAATCATGTTCTCCTAATAACGCAAGCGTGAAAATTTTCGAAAATTCGTTTTTTATTATTTTATATTATCAGGAGAATATATTTTGCGAGGAGGTCGAAGATGCGTTGATGACCTCTTTACAAATCATGTTCTCCTAATAACGCAAGCGTGAAAATTTTCGAAAATTCGTTTCTTATTATTTTATATTATCAGGAGAATATATTTTGCGAGGAGGTCGAAGATGCGTTGATGACCTCTTTACAAATCATGTTCTCCTAATAACGCATTTAAAAAAAAAAAAAAATTTCGCGAACATTTAATGTTCGAAATAATTTACGCATTGCCATCCGCGTTTTGTGGGCTCTTAATGCTCTTTACATAATTATCATGTTGATAAATACATAGAGCCGTATTATTTACCTATTTATTTTGAAAAATATTTATTTCATCTTTGAATATTACAGTATCTGTCGCGATTGAATAATTTATTTATTATCAATTTACACACATAAGTATTTAATTGTTATATAGCACTGGTGCTACCGGCATTTCGTGCACATAGCACGGAACAAAACCAGAAATTGTGCAATTATATATTACCCTCTGAGAACATTCATGGAATATGACTTTGTAGTTCATGTTCATGTTTTGAATGTCCATAGAGGGAGTATCACTTTTGGGGTCACTCCATAGCTTGGACATGAACCATAGCTCAGACACGAACCACGTATTATTATCGACTTTAATGGATTTAGTTGACGTCCACTTTGTCAGGGAGCGCATTAGGACAATATACCCGTTAAAGCGAGGTGGCCGCTCTCAGGTTTCTCTCTGCCTGATTACATAAGATTATATTATGTTACATTATTTAAAAGGAATTAAAGAATTCTATTATTCTGCATGACGACAATTGATCCCTGCAAACAATTTGCTTGTAAACTGCAAAAGTGCTTGAAAGGTTTGATTGTTTTAATCAACTGAAACAAATTTGTCAAAATTAATAATAAAATTTTTAATTATCTAAAAAAAATAATAGAATTATTACTCCTAGATGTAAATATATAATCTGTAGATAATAATAGGAGAATCTTAATTTTTTCTATAATTTTTCTTAATTTAATTTACAATTTAATCGATTAAAGAGAGAGTGTAAAAAAAATATTATATATTTCTAACCTTGTTTCTCTTGAGAGAAAAAAAAAGATTGTCTGAAATAAGAATGAGATTGGATGAAATAAGAAATATATATATTTTATATGTCGATATAATTATTAATTAATTAAAAGAATGACGTAATAAATGTACATTTATGGATTTCGCTACAAAATTTATTAAAGGTATACTTTTTTTCTTTTAGACAATGTCTATCAGCCCTCTCGCTGTGAAGAAATAATAGAAGAATTAAGAAAGTGTTGCGTAAAACATTCATCCACCTCTACCGTTTGTGATGGTATAGATACTTCTAAGCGATATGAACATAACACTGTTGATTATGTAAGTTTGATATATATTTTATTCGCATATTTTTATTTACAATTAGAGGGAGAAAGAATAAAATATAACTATATTTTAATAATTATAGGAATTTTTTATATCTTGTATTAATTCAATTTTAAATTTTCTTCTAGCGAAAAGTTATAAAATAGACAATGTCTAATGAAATAAGAAGGCAAACATTGGGAAACAAAGGTTTCGCGTATCGTCATCCAAAAGTCTTTATTTTTACAGGTATACTAATTTCTATGGGTATAATATTCAGCAAGCCTCTTTATGATATATTTTTTATGGAACAACCGTCAGAAGAAGAAATGATCATGATTCGTCAGAGAACGCGTGATAGATTGCGTGGATAGAGTTTAAATTCCTACAAATTTGTTTCTGCGTAAGAATGGACGCTGTAAAAAAAGCCAAGGAGAGATTGAAACAATATCCAGCTCTTATGATTCGATGCCAGGAATCGGCATCAAGGTACGCATTTTGCGTGGTAGAGAAATCCAATTTAGAGAAGAACGCTTGCGCTGCGGAATTTAACGAGTTGAAGAAATGTCTTGTTAAAGCCGCCGCGAGCAGCAATACAAGATTATAAATAAGCTTGAAGCTCAATCGATGAATATCTGTGAGTTTAATGCCTTAGCTTTAGCTACGCAAGAATGAATATCATCGCTAAAATAAATAATTCGTCATTTACGTCACACTGTCTACTGGCGTTCATTCTACGATTAATCTTGATACTGTATGCCAATTTTCACGATGAGTATTTCGCGGTATCATACACAGATGTGGACTATAAGGTGTTTACTGATGCCGCTAGACATGTAATAGAGCAACGATCACCGTTCGAGCGACATACTTATCGCTATTCGCCGTTTCTGGCTTGGCTCTTGGCACCAAACATCATATTACACAAGGATTTTGGAAAGATTTTATTTTCCACAGTAGACATACTGATAGCAGTCCTGATTAAAAATATCCTCGCGCGACAGAGATGTAAGGAGACTCTAAAGAATCTCTGTGCGCTCTTGTGGCTCTATAATCCGTTAACATTGGTGATCTCTACGAGAGGTAATGCGGATTCGTTGGCTGTTTTTTTAGTTATAGTCACATTAGATTTGTTACAACGAGATAAAATTGTACTGGCTGGATTATTTCATGGGCTATCTGTGCATTTTAGATTATATCCATTGATGTTCAGTCTGCCCATGTTCTTGTCCTTGTGTAAAAGTAATCGTTTTTTGCCGAACAAGAATCAATGGAGACTTGTGTCGAGTTGCGTATTTTCAATTGTTACATTGACGATCACGGGTTATTATTTGTACGATTTCAAATTTTTCTACGAAAGCTTTCTGTATCATTTAGTGCGTAAAGACGCACGACACAATTTTTCTATATATTTTTACATGCTTTACTTATCTGCTAATCAGCCTCAGGATATAATCCAGAAGATCGTTACGTTTCTGCCACAATTGTTACTGTTGTTGATGTCGTCGTATTATTATGCGGAAAAATCCAAATTGCCATTCGCTATGTTCATTCAGGCGATAATCGCGGTGATATATAATCCGGTGATAACTTCCCAATATTTCTTCTGGTTTTTATCCTTGTTACCTCTCGGCTTGCCAAATATCAAAATGAGCCTCTGCAGAAGCGTATGTCTAATATGTTCCTGGATCTTGAGTCAAGCTATTTGGTTGTCGACTGCTTACATGCTAGAATTCCAAAGTTTTAATTCATTCAATGTGCTTTGGATATCTAGTATGTTATTTTTTGCTGTTAATGTAAAAATTTTAGTTGATATTATTAATCATTATAACTATTGATTATAAATATGTAGTATTTATCTCGCATCTGAGATATTAATATTTATATATTTCCAAAAAATAAAATAATTTGAAGAAAAACTGTATTTTATATATTCCAACAATCTTTAATCTAATGCGTCATTGTGTGACATAAAATAAGTAAGTAATCAATTGAAAATTGAAGAAGACACAAATTACAATTGAAGAAAGAAAATTAAAATTGAGAATTAAAATTGAAGAAAGACAATTGAAGAAAGAAAATTGAAGAAGACACAAATTACATAAAGTTATATTATTTTTTTGATAATAATATTGCTATTTATTTTAAGAAAACTAAAATAATTTCAATATTAATTGCGATGGAGCTATGATTTTATTACATCTTTTAACAAATTAACACTGATTATATATATACATTTATTTCAGAATTAAAATTTTTATTATTTTATTTTATCAGATTTCTCGTCAATAATATTATGTAGTAGATATTTGTACAAAAATATTAACTTTACATATCAACAATTGTTAAATAATTCTCAAAAAATATCTGTAGCTCAAACTTAGTTTTTTGATGCTTTTTAAATTATTTTTATAGAATAAAATTAAACAAATATTTACACATAGTTGTAAAACTTTCGCTATATATAAATTTGTAAAAGTCGAAACATATATTAGTTTCACTTTGTGTCACTTGTATCATTTTTATAATAAATAATTAATACTAATAATAAATAATTAAGACTGCTTATATATTTTATAAAAGCTTTAAATGGATTTGTGTGTGTGTGTGTGTATGTGAGACCTTTAAAAGTTAATATAAAATCCATTTAATAATTTTAACAATTAAATATTTAATAAATTTTAATATAATTAAATATTTATTAAATATTTTATGTATAAAATATTTAATAATTTTATTATGCTACTTGAAACAATTAAATACAAAGAGTTCCCTCTAATAAGATTTACCTTAGAAAGTGCAATGATTAGGGATGATGTTAAGCAGGAAGCTCTTAGAAAACTGGAATTTCTTTATTACGCCAAGGAGGCTCTATGCAGAATTGATATAAGCATATTAAATAATAAGCATAAGTAAATAATAACATAAGCATGTAAACTGTAACTCTGAATTATTATACTAATCTAATATTACAAATAATAACTGTATTGTATCATTATTTACTTCTTAGTCCGTGATTTTCAATTTTGAATGGCTTTTTTACATTTGTAATTTGTTTTTGTGCAATGTAAATAAACTTAAATATCTAAAGTAAAATTTTTACAATATCTAACAATATGTAAAATTGAAATCACAAAATTTTTAAAATGATTACGACAAGGATATTAAATTTTATATTCCTTATAATTACAGTTATATATATAAACAAAAATATAATAATAGTATTAAAGTTTAAAATAAATAAGAGTAGCCCCAGGTAGCAAGATGACGTCTAAAGACGTCTTAAAGTCGTCTATGACGTCTTTAAGATGTCTTTAAAACGTCTTTAGACGTTATCTTGCTACCTGGGGCGTCAAATACATAAAAAAGTTAAAATCAAGATAACTTTGATTATAAAAATTAAAAGTAAAATTACAATTGAAATTGAATTTGAACTTTAGTATTAAGAATATTGTGATTCAAAATAAAAAATCTAAAACTAAATACATCAACTAAAATAACTGTATTATATATTTACATTTTTTAAATTAAGGAAATACTCTACTGCAAAGCATTTGGCAAGCAAGTCGACTTGCAAATAAATTTAATGTTATCAGAATTTGTGTTTGGAGAGATAGAGAAGCGGAAAAAAACGTAACATAATCATGGTGATTCAAGAAAATTGCACATACATATATAAAAATATATATTAATACTTTTATGTATATAATACATATCTCTAATATCTGTTACAGAGCAATTGGTGCTTTTGCAACCATTATCATATCAACATTTCTTAATCAAATGGACATTACAATATGCAACTAAAGTTTGAAGCATCATATGATAATAATGTTTCATTTTAGCAGATTATATAATAATTCTTTGTATATAAAAAGATGTAATCTTATTAGACTTAATTGTATATTAATATTTAACTATACTCTGTATAATAATATTTAATTGAATCTAAAATGGTTTGAATGTCCGTTTCACTTTCAATTTTTGCAGTCTTTGTTTATCCAATTCAAACTTCTTTCGTAATTTTGCTAATTCTAAAAGAAGCATAGTATAAATTGAATATATCTCTAGAAGAAATTTTATATTACAAAAATCTTGTGACTTGAAGTCATACTTAGTTTGTTTCTTTGTCTCTCGAATTTGAGAATGAAATTATGAAAATTAAATAATTGCTTTTTCTTCTTGCATTGTTCTTCCTTTTTGTTGCATCTTGCCAATGGTGAACTCTTTCCTAGATGCAAATTGTCCTCTTTTCTTTCCACCTGCTACTGCTATCCAGCCATCATCATCCTCTGCAATTTGTTTAGTACTTTTATTTGATTTTCAGATCCTTTATTTGCTTGTCATACAAAGTTAAATATTCCCCAATCTGTTTTTTATTACATTCTCATTACACAAAGAATCGTTGTATTCTTTACACCATTTTATTTAAAAAAATTAAGAAATCATTAGAAAAAAAATATAATTTAATAAAAAAATATATATAATAAAACTATATATAACTTACTTCTTAATCCTGTGAGACATATTTTCACTATTTAACGGGCATATCAGAGACTCCCTAATCAACCGCCTTGTCACGAAATAACATCAATAAGATTCGGCGATATTTTTACTAAAACTAAATAATAAATAAATTTAATTTGCATTTGGTGTTTGAAATAAATAAATGACATGGATGAAAAATAAACTTTTATTTTTATGTTAAATATTATACATCATAGTTTTACTGTCAAAATGTTTCTTTAATAAAATACTTACAAAATGCTCACGTACTTGGTTAATTATAATTTATAATTATTTCATAATTAGTTTTGATATTTTATATTTTTCTTTAGGAAAGTTATTTTTTGAGGTTTCATTTTTTTCACAAAAATTATTTTTTGAGGAAAAATTTATGTAAATTATCTTTAGGGATATTTTTTTACCTTCGTAAGATTTTGCTCATACTAAAAGTCTTCATCGCATTCTTTTACCATAATTGGATAATTTGTGTATAGTCTATTATGTGTATAATACAAAGTATATGTACAAATAGATATATGTTAAATCCTTATTCTGTGAAACTTTTACAACACTATAAATATTAGAATGCTTTGTATGAACAATTAAACAAATTAAATAAACAATAATATAATACTTAATTATAAAATTTATTTTTGGTTTCAAATAACATTGCTGGAATATTTAGTTTGTTTCTTTTATTTTTCTATTTATTTAAATGTTAAATATTTTAACTTTTATTTATCTATTTATTTAAATGTTAAATATTTAATAACAGCAGTTACTTTTAAATGTTAAATGTTTAATAACAGCAGTTACTTTTATTTTCTTTAAATCATTAAAGAACTTGCTTATCTAAAGTAGATAATTTTGATATTTATCATCACTAAATAATAATTTTACCTCACATCATAATAATCACATTTTACATAAGCATATGTAAACATATGCAATTTTTATCGAGTTATTTCTTTGAATATAAATAATTAATAATAATATAATTATATATTGATGTATCTGTAAAAACAAAATAGTACATATATTTTTTATCATTTTAATATCATGAAATAATATTACGAAATATTATCTTTTATATTTTTAAAATTTCAATGCACGGTAGGAATATATTTATAGTTTTTGGTGGCATTCCCTGATATATATATTCTCAGAAAATATTTAGGATAAAAAATAGTAGAGTGTTCAAAAAACTTGAATTTATTTAAGTTTTAATAAAAAAGCACATATTATATCTACAAGTCTGATTATTTATAAAGTATCACTTTCATTAGTCTACGCGGTACTTATATCGGCGTTAAAAATATCAGACGAGTTATAATGATTCTTAATTTTATTCTTTTGCAGGAATACAAAATACTTATTTACAGATAGCTTCATAAAGTAATAGTGGTAGATTCTGAAAAGGAATGTAGATATATTAGTAATAATACAATAATCGTAAATCTTACTATAGTAATCTAGATTAACTGTGAGCAAGAGCATCTCTTGGATCATCTTCCGAGATATTTTTTTCATCGATTCGATTGTTCTAAGCGGCTAAATATTATGACGATAATATTATTGGGTCATTTCTTGTCAAATTGCACGAGTAATGATATGCAAATAATCTAAATTCCACTGCAGTCTCCGTCTACATAATTATTCGCTCGGTTTGATGGATATGGATAAATCAAGGCGGTTGAGAAGTGTATCAAATTTCTCTTTTACATTATCTAAACATATATTCGCTAACTTTTAAGTAAAACGTTATTTATTTCTGAATATAATTACGTTTGATTTATGTATTGGTGTCGCATCGATCACTCTTGATTATCCCTTGATTATGGAAATGTGCTGTTTTTCGGCGAAATTTTTGGCGACACGAAATGGCCCAATGGACACGAGTCGAAAAACTGAAATAGATCTTCTTTTCTCTTTTTTATATAACTACGGGTTTTTACGGCAGAGAGATGATGATGAAGTGCAACATATAAAAATAGCATTATTTTCTTTCATTGCTTTCATTACAGTTTGCTCAACTGTGTGCTATATGAAGTAATCTATTTTATTTGTTTTCTTTTTCTCTCTCTCTCTTTCTCTCTTTCTCTCTCTTGAAATACATGTGTGGGTACACACATCTGATCCTCGTCAAACACTTGTACGCGAATATTTGCACGGGGATCAGTCGGATAACATCGAGGTAAAGTTCCGGGTCGCGCAGAGAAAGGACAGGCCACCGATCTCGAGAAGCAATTAAAATTATAAATAATTTCCATCTTGGCTGCGAGACCCGAAAGTTACGTTCGAGAAAACGTTTTACATTATTCACAAACCGACTCTTCGTCTCTTTCGCT